TACATATATCTATTGTACTGATTCGAGTTATTGACTATTGTAATTCATGTCGTTTTTATGTGTATTAATACATATATACATACATACATACATACACATATGCATACATATATGCATACATATATATATATATATATATATATATATATACACACATAAATGAGAGAGAATATCGCAAAGATAGTTATTTGCATAGTCAAGATGACTTTTGAATGAATACACACATTAACGCAATCGAAAAAATGAAGTATACATAATACACATATGTATATATATATATATATATATATATATCCATTTATATTAAATCTAAACACCCTATAGATATATTATGTTATATTGTATTATATTTCGATGTCGAAGAAAATCAGAAAATTTTTTCGCGATGTCTATAACAATCGTTTTTTGCATCGAAATAAACGAAAGCAAAAGAAAGTAAGAAAAAAAAAAGAAAAAAGAAAAAAAAAAAAAAAAGAAAAGAAAATTGAATAAATTGAAAAAGAAAAAGAGTGGAGAGAAAGAAACAAAAAATAACAACTACAGAAAATAAAAATAGAAAAAAAGAAAAAAAAAGAAGAAAAAGGGAAAAAAAGAAGTATCTCATTCGATGGTATTAAAAGAAAAAAAAAAAAGAAAAAAAAGAAAAAAAAATAGAAAAAAGAAAAAAGAAAAAAGAAAGAACGAAAAATGAAAAACTGAGTTCGCGAGCAAACTCTAAAAACGTCGACGTTGTATCCAAAATCGATCCCTTTATATATATGTATGTATGTATATGTATATATATATATATATATATATATGTATGTATATATGTATATATGTATATAGATACTACATTGGAACTGAGTTCATTCCAGTCCAGTGCTGTCCAACCATTGACTCTCATCAAATATCTTGTTGTTCACGAATAAAAAGTTTTTATTAGAAAAAAATATTTAGTTTCGAAATTCGGATAAAAAAAAAAAAAAAAAAGAAAAAAGAAAAAAGGAAAAAAAAATAAAATACGCCCAGTTCAACAAATTAATTTTCGAATTTACATAAAGGACATTTTTCGATTAATTATATATACGTGTATACACACACACTTAGAGAGAGTCTAAAATATGTTTGTCCAAAATAAAAGTCGTTGATATCAGAACTATTATAAAATCTAATGATATTCTTTTGTTTTGTTTTTTTTTTTCTTTTTTTTTTTCGAAAATCTCTGAAACAGGCCAATTTTGCTTTCGTAATTTAAAAATCATAAAAATTCACTTTCTAAACTTTTTTTGCTAAATCCCTTAAAACGATTTCCTCATCCTCATTCCTAAAAAAAATTTCAAATGGCAAAAATTTTTATAAATGGTCATTTCAAATGGCATATTATTTGAAAGATCCTTTGGTTCTCTTTACAACGTATATTACTTTCTTTCTCTTTTTCTTTTTTCTTTTTTTTTTTATTTTAATTTTAATTTTAATTTTAATTTTAATTTTAATTTTAATTTTAAGTTTAATTTTGAATCAATAATGGACGAGAAAGTTCATTCGAAAGTTTCAAGTTGAGAACAACTTTTATCTTACTAAATATTAAAAATATGAATGGCCGTTCTTCTCCCGATGCAGTAATAATAAAGTATTTCCTCGATATTGCATCGAACATTTTGCAATACATCCGGTATATAATCCGACAGCATTCTTCGATTATAAACTGTGGAGAAGTTTTCCTTTTTTTTATTTTTTCCAATGGAAGACATTTATGATTACATATATTCTGAATTTTAAATATCCTTATGGGATTAACAGATAAAAAAAAAAAAAAAAAAAAAAAAGAAATTATCTGATTTGGAAAATGCTGATTTAATAAACTGCCATATTGAAACTACATAACGTGGATGAACTCGATCGTGTTTATAAAAAAAAAAAAAAAAACCATTTCTTCGATCATATACAGATCATTTCAAATGATTTATACTATCGATAAATAAATTTGTATCTCCAATATATTAAATTACGATCTCTCTCTCTCTCTCTCTCTCTCTCTCTCTCTCTCTCCGATCAAATGATTTGATAAAAATAAAAAATTAATAATTTTGTTTATTCAATATAACAGGCTACATATTTCAATTACATCGAATATATCGTAGTATGTTCGACGTATTGCTAAATAAAGATCTTATTATTGCATGGGGGATGACGATAGATATTTTTCTATATTTAATGAAATAAAAATTATTTATAATCTTGAAACAAATTAATAATATTACGAAATTAAATTTTCTCAAAGGATTATCGAAACAAAATTAATAAAAAAGAAAAGAAAAAAATAGAAGAATTGTAAAGAGAATTTAAATATATTTAAAATGATATGGCTATTTGATCTTTGTTGCCATTTAAGATTGTTATAGATGGGATTGTTTCTTCCCTTGTGTAGTTAGGCCAAAATGGACAAATATAAAAGGATCTGTCACATTTGCAAACAAAATTGACCTAACTTGGAATTTCTATCAAAAAAAATCACTAGATTTCATAAAAATTCCTGGTGGCCACTTTTCATTGGGATATTTTGTGTATATGTGTGTGTGTGT